TGGGGAGGGAGCAGAAATAACAGTCTTAAGGAAGCAAATGAAGAAGGAAATTTATTTTTCTTAAAAGGACAGGCAGCCTCAGTCACAAAACACTTCTATTGTGGTCATTTCCTCCAATTACAGAGCAGGGTCAAGGAGGGAGTGGTCATTTCCTCCAATCACAGGGCAGGGACAGGGAGGGCATGGTCATTTCCTCCAATCAGTATGAGCCCTACACTCATAAATCACAGAAACGCAGATCTCTTAAATTACTTTCTTATTCAATAATGACTGGCCTCCCTGTAGAATTTTATGTGCAAATGATCTCTGATTAAAGCCAACCTCATGTGTCATCTTTGGTAAGTGTAGACGGCTGCTTTGCTGTCGTGTGATTTGCTACAGTCAGATCCAATCCAAGTGATCACATTCAGCCACAGTGATTCCCACGCAGGCGTGAGGGCCCCACCCTGAGCCAGACACCATGTAACAGCCCTGCTACGAGCCCACAGCCCAGTGTTTCAGTAAGTTGAGGAAAGGCTGCAGTTATTGATATATAACTCAGACATAAACAAACAAACAAAAATCGGAATCGTCTTGATGTAAATTGGGGTTCTGATACATTCTACCAGTTGTGCATTTAATCTTAGGACTAGAAGATTTAGCCAAACAAAATATTTTTCTTATAATCTGTATGTAGCAGAACTGAAACTCTGACGTCACAGGATGCAGTAAGGGCCAAATCCAGTTTTCATTTCCAATGGCTCTAAAACTGTGGCCAGCTATTACAAACCGTTAACATAAAAATGTTGAACATGAATGCATCGTGCTGGAAAGTGGACAAAATGGGTATAAGACTAGTGACATTTCAAAAATGAAATAAAAAATATTAGAATTCTATGAAAAACAATTGGGGGCTAACAGGGAAATTTAGGGACATTGGTTTTTAACCTAATCCATAAAAAGCTCCAGAAATTGCTTTAGCGCTTTCAGAAATAAAAAAAGTCATAAGTATACACCCTAGATATCATTGAAAAGGCTTTCTATTATTAATTTCAGGTAATATATATGTCAATGAAAATAAACTATTCCCAGTTCTCCCTTTTCTGGGTGAAGGAGGAAGCTTAGCATGAGGCGTCATAAATGTGTTATAATGAGTAAACTTTGATAAACAAATGCTACTCTAAGACCTATCAATAACAAAGGGTCTTAAATGTAATCAGAAACCAATTTACTAATTTCAATGGTCAATTGTACATTATCACTGAAAAAGTTACAGTTTGAAATTGTAGAGCCAAAAAGCCTACAGGTGTATATACACATAAAAACAAAGTGTGTTTTTATTATCTTGAGACAAATTTTTCACCATTATCTGAGCAGCTACTGTCTCTAATGATGAAGCTAGGAACTGGAGTTTAATGATAAATAGGACCATTTTTCAAATGAAAACCTCAACTAATATTAGGTCATTTTTCTACAAACACTTCAGCATTCCGGATATGAGCAGGGCTAGTATGCCATTAGCTCATGATTTCAAAAGAAGAAGTGAAATATTTCAAAAATAAAAACCCTAGCCTAATAGAGCCCTTAAAATTTTGGAAATGGTGTGCCTGTCTATCCTTACCGTCCACTGTCCACAGAAAGTGACCCTGCTCCAGTCGCACTGGGCTATATATTGTCCCTCAAATACAGCCAGGATGTCCGCATCTGTGGACTCTTGCTGCCTAGTGGCTGTGTGCCCTTGTGTCATGTTATAGACTGTGATCTCACTCTAGTATTTCCTTCCTGCATTGCTATTTAGCTTTTCCTGCGCTGGCCTCATCTCTGCAACTAGACCGTAAACTGCTTGACAGAAGGATTAGGCCTTGTGTATCTTTGGAACCCTTACAATGCTTCTAAAGTGTCCGGTCCCAAGTCGGCTGCTCATATTTTTGCTGTTTTAATTGGTAGAGTCTATATAACAAATCACAAATGGTCACAAAAATCAGGACTGGACCCATAGATAACCCAAAATAGTATCCGACTACCCAGAACAGCATAACTCAGGCACCAGGAATTTGGCCGCGGATGGCAGCACCGACAGCCAATACTTACTGAGTGCTCGCTCCTTCGGCGCCCGGCGCTTTTTTAAGAGCTTCACGGAAATGCACGTGAGCCCCTTAGGAAGCTAACTATGATCACTATCCTCATTTTACAGGCGGGGAAACAGAGGCACAGAGAGGCTGGGTGGTCGCTCACGCTGGTAGGTAGCGGAGCTGGGGGAGCAAACTCGGGCAGTGTGGGTCCAGGGTCAGAGCACAGCATGACCTGATACTGCTTCCCTGCAAAGAGGCTCGGGGGTCAGGGGCAGTGAGCAGGTAACACAGGCAGCAGAGAAGGAGCTACTATTACGCGCTCTACCCTTTGCGCTATTCATGGGCAATGTTTGCCCGAGCCAGTATGTGATAACAATCATTTCAGCAATTAACTAGGTTCTCTAGTTTCTGGTGGTTTCAGGTTGTCAATTTTAAATGCAATTTAAAATACATTCACAAAATGATTAGCATAGAAAATGACTGAGTTACTTTCTTTCCTCTCATTAGATATCTATTTATGTATCTATAAATTTTCCTTATGTCTAATGATACTAACATCAAAATAAATTATTTACAGTTTGTCATAACATAACCCCTTTCTCCTGGTTAGAACATGATGCTCCATTAACAGCAACTGCAAAATCAGAAGGCTCTTGACTTCCCCACAACTAGAAATAAAAATGTTAGTTATAGCAGACAGAAACTATTACGCAGCATAAATACTACGTACATCAAATATAAACACATACCATTGTATAGGTCCCAGGCTGGGCATAGGCCCAATCTGTTAATAAATTAAGTATTAATTGTTTGTTTCTGTGACTTTGAATAGAGGAACACAGTAACCAAAAACCACTTTGGCACTGAGTCAGTACATGGGCAGGATCTGAAAGGGAATCCAGAAAAGTGACAACTGTGAAATAATAGCTGCCATGTGTTATTTTCTTTCTGTCATAAGCATCGGGGGCAAGGAGAAAACACACACTGTCCAGGCCTGTGTGAGCACTGGCGCTCAGAACGTCAATTCGGTTCTCACTGAACAGCATGTTGGAGAACTGATCTTCTGAGTTGTTGGGGCGAGTCATGGGAAGTAGCCCCTGCTCCCAGACCCAGTCCTAGACACTCTCTTTGGTTTGCCACATAACACCACATGTGGCATTCCTGAGGACGCGGAGGGAGTGGGCAGGTGTCTGGGCAGAAGGAGGGTACGCAGAGCAGTTGATGCCCAGGGCTCTGTCCCCTTAAGAAAACACCTGGGTGGTAGGCAGGGCACAGACATCGCCACTGCTTGGAACTTCTGGTGGGGGAGGACTGCTGTCTACATGCCCTCATCCAGAAAGGCCACGTCACTTTTCCCAGGGATGCAGCTTTGCGAAGGTGTGAACGCGGAATGGATGAGGGAGAAGTGTCATACCTGCACAGCCACGTCAGCCAAATTAACTGTGAACGGCACCCGGGTGGCCACTGTCACAGGCAGATCCCTCTCTGAGGTGGCATAGGCCAGGCAGCTGATTTCATTTTGTTTTATTTTAATTAACTGATTAATTTTGAGGGAGGGCAGGTTGAGGAAGTAAAAGGGCATAACTGGTTTTTTCCCCCTTGGTAATCTAGATAGAATGCTGAGGCACTGAGGGTTACCACAGAGATCATTCCCAGTCCCTTTTAAGTAGCAAGCCCCCATTCCTAAAAGGCTGGTGATAAAATAAAAAGAAGAAGAAGAAGAAGAAGTGTGTTTGGTGGTGTGCAGAAATCTCAAGCTTCACCACGATGGGCTCAATATGAAGCATTTGCCACGTACAAAGTGCCAAATGTTATAAGGATTAACAGTACAACAAAGACCTAAGGAAATCACGTGCCAAATTTCCCCGCAGTCTCTCGGTAGTTATTCGTGTCTGGACGTGATTTTTGTATTTTATGACACTGTATTTTCTACTTTCACTAAAGGAGAGCTACCCAAATTTGTGGATTTTATTTTTTTGCCTCATCTTCAAAATGCCTTAGGGCTCATTCCGACTTGGTTCAGTGGCAACCCACGGTCTCAGGGGCCTTCAGCATGTTTACATAGCTGCTCTTCTGTTTATTTTGCATTGTTTTATCCTGTACGCTGTCTCAAGGCCCTTCCAACACAAGCAGGAGAATTAAAATCCCAATAAATTGAAATTTGAAGAACAGAGGCAATCTGGGTTTGGGGGCCTTGGATGATCAGGATAAACATCTGTTTCCCATTGCTCTGTGGCGCTTGTGGGGCATGCGCTGCCCCCAGACTAGTCGTCAGTCAGAATCAACACATTCACAACAGCAACACAAAGGATAATGTTTACATTTAAACTGCACTTCCAGTTTATGAGGACTTCTACTTAGTTTTTCATTCCCTTCTTAGAGTATTTCTAAAAGAGACGGAGAACAGGTGTTGTCCCTGCTTTACGGATGAAGAAACTGAGTCACACAAGTATGGAGATGCCCCAAACAGTATGGACAAGTGGTGGCACCAGCACCAGAGCTCAGCCCTCTCCACGGCGCTGCCACCGTCTGGCCAGCTGTGTCAACATCTGTGTGCCAGCAATAAGACTTTCCATCATATTCCAATTAAACTTCCTGCCAAAGGCCTTCTTACAAAGCTTGTGACAGGGACGTTACAGGAGTCTAGAGTTAGATCTTTCTTGAAAAGACAGCCACCGAGATGGTTCATCAGATCGATCAATTCTGGGATTGGAAGTGGCAAACAAGCAATGCTCCAACACTTTCCTCACGCCTCCTGTTAATTTGATGGGAGGAATTAAGAAACACGTAACTTCCTTACTTGTAACGTAACCCCCAAGTATTCCGTCCCATCATTTCTCATCACTCCAAATTCCCAGGAGCTGCAGCTTTAAGAGAAGTAAAAACCAAGCCTCCCAAAGATACATTCTCACACTGACAGAAACAACAACAGCAATTAAAAAGGCTTACCTTGCAGCCTTCACATGTAATGACACCATAATGGATTCCTGATGATTTGTCTCCACAGATCTTGCATGGAATAATTTCAATTTGAGCTGCAACAGAAGCACGTAACCAGTTAATTACATTTTCTTTTAAACACCTTATAAAAGCGTTCCCCGATCAGCATTTGTATAGTGAAAACTAATAACCTGCTAAACATTATACCGCATTAACTATTCATTGCTGAACTGTACGGGTCCCCTAGAGCCCTGGACTAAATTATGGCTGCTCGTTATATAATAGCTTTCGGGTTATTAAAATGGGTCATTTGAGAAGGTGTTTAAGGACCCACAAGAAGGCTGGAATCAGCATTTCAAAGCCTTCAAGAACTGGAGACTTCGCAGTTTCGGCCTCAGAGCAAAGTAGACAGGAAAATGTTTCCTCCGATCTTATTTTCCATCATTATTTTTAAAAGGTCATAAATCTGTCTTGGCTGAGCACTGTAGCTTGACTGATAGAGAAAAATATACTCCAAAAGGTTAAGAATACTTAGGAAAATGATTCAATCCAAAACATTAATGTTACGTATGATGGTAAGTTAAGAATTTTTACTTATCTTTTCTAATTAACATAGTTACCGTGTATTTAAAAAAACAAGTCCATTTGTGTACCATCAAAATCTTTCAACCATAAACTTAATATTCTATCTGATTTTAATAATGATGAATCCTGACAAATAGAATAAGTAGCTTCTAAGTTCTTTACATTGGAAATTGATTTCCTGGTACAGTGTGCTCATGTTTCTATCCAACTGATTACTTACAGATGCCCCATGCTGTAAAACCAACCAAGTAAATACAGAAATATATGAGCATAGCACACCAATGTTCTTAAATATGACAGCACACTTCGAAGCATACACATCATATCTTGAGCAGAGTTGGAAATAGCATAATTAAGGACTTAAAAATAATCTAAGATAATTATGCACAACAAAGTACTTGGGTCAACTATGAAATATGATTTATATATGAAAAAATTATCAACACTGAGGAGTATACACAGGACCGCAATGCCCACCAGTTAACCTAGTATGTTCCATTATGCTAAATTCAGTTTCCATGTTTTCACCACTGGATGTCATATCAGATTATCTACCAAATCACACACATGAACACAAGTACAAGAGCCCACGTGGGTTTCATTTTTGTATAGAGTTCCTTCCCAGCCCTGTGCCTCACACAAAGCAATGATTTGTCTAAGGATGTAAGTTACATGATATAAGTAACGCACAGATATATACAGCCCACTCTCCCCTCACTATAATCCTATACCCTGGGGTCATTTCCACAACACGTACTTTGCATTTGATGTGATGCTGAAAGTCTTGGGTTTAATCTCATTATAAAGCACATTTGCCTGCTAACTCTCTTTTGAGGGGAAAGGTACAAGTGCTGATCAGGGGGTGCAAGCTGTTCTAGAGAGCTCTTTTCCTATCCATCACTCTTGTGTTGGCACGCTGAGTTTTAGTGCCCAGAGTTAGAGATGGTTCAAAATAATCACATCCAATATATTTTCCATAATCCTGAAGCTTTTTAATACTCCAATCATGGAGTCTTTGTACGCTGTCGAATATGCCTGTTTCTGAGTTCTGCAACTTATTAATATGTTATAGGGTCACATTTAACAAAAAATGATCACCTCCGAGTCCTCCTCCTTGTCCTTAGTGCCTAGGTTGATTCTTCAAGGAAAATTCTCTATGGAATCTGAAATCTAATAATGTCTCACACCTATGGTCCCCTCCAATATTCTTAATATAGCCAAGGCAAAGTTTTGTGCTACAGACCATCTGCAACTCGAGAGAGAAAGAGAGAGAGAGAGAGAGAGAAAGAGAGAGAGAGAGTGAGTTCATGCTCAACATTTTTCAGGGGCCCACAAAAGCCAAGTGGTAGCTGCAGGGTGTTATCAGTGGGCAGTTATCAGCCTGGGTTCTCCCATATGAATTAACCAGTCTATAATGAGAACCTGCCTCCCCCACCCCAACCCCTAAGGAATAGAATAGTTAGACAAAACAAAGCTCTTGGACCATTTATTAAACAAAATTTATAGTGGAATAAAGAAGACAGACACCGAGCTGTTTCTGCACACATCTCATCTCAATCTGTAATCACAGAAATTAGACGTGGACAAACCTAGTGCGGCCCTGTAGTTTAAGTCGGCATCAAAACTATCTGAGGCAGTTAAAGCAACAGTACTGCTAAACTCGGGCCTTGCAAGGGTTACCTTCATTCCACCTTCACAATGGGGAGACCAAGCACATCTGTTTAGTCCTTAGTAAGCTAGGAAGGCCCTGAGCAAGCCATACCGGGAGTGCTGAGTAAAACTGTATCTGGATCAAATGGAAAATGATGTATCGCTGTTCAGCTGGCTTGAGCTCAGTGGATTACCCATAAGAAACGAAATGATGGCACTTAAGCCAGTGACCAGAATGCCTGCTAGTGGCTGCTGTCATCCCGCAAGTGATATGGAGGTCTAACTTGGAGGGGTCTGCTCATGATAGAGGTGGTCCGGGGGAAGGGTCCTTGTGGCACAAACACAGAGTTTGGTGCCACTACCGACTGGTGGCCTGAGTTAGGCTCCCAAGCTCTTGGTCTTCAGCCTTGTTTTGGCTCCCAGGGTCTTTCAAATTTATAAGACACTCAAACTAAGATAAATTTCACAAGATGTATGGAGGACAGTGAGTCATCTATACTCACTGTAGATGACTTGCATTTTAAAGCAGGAGGCCATCTGTCACCCACTGTGTTTGTGCTGAGTTCCAGTGGGCAATGGTGGCCAGAAGGCCAGGATTAGTCAAAACAAACTCCACCAGGGAGCTCGTGGTAGTTATGGCAATGGAAGTGTTGTCCAAAGCAAGGTTCAGGCATTCTGACTGGTCAGATCGAACTATCCTGCCAGCCTGCCTCCCGGGCCGGGGGCTGAGGACAACCTTATCTCCGAAAACGATCTCAGTTACCAGAGCTTTTTAAGAAATGACTAAAATCCACCTGCTCCAAAAAGCAAACTCTGAATGTGACCTGATCACACAGGTTGATACTTCCAGAAAGCAAACATTTGCGGATTGGAGCAGGGCACTTAGCCTTCTGTGTAATCCGACGATGCCCCAAAGCCCCTCCAACTTTTAGTCAATTTACAGAATTCACCTGTAACAGTGAGAATAAAAAATGTAGTCACTGGCTTGCACATTTTTTCAAAAGGAAAGCAGTTTAGTTCCATACATTTGAGTTTTCAGTCCAAGTAAGAGTGAAAAGAAAAAAACTCGCCTTGCCCTCTGCTTTCCATCCCTCAGGCTTTTCCCTTTTCCAACAGGCAGTGTGTGTCTTTTCAAAATAACCTTTTAACACAAATTACGAGTTTTGGCCCATAGATATACTGCACACATTAGCTCCGCCAGTATTTCAAAGGATGAGTCCTGTCAGACAACACGCTGCCACAAGTGTATTGATTAAATTAGCCCACATACATATTCATCGCAGCAAAGAGGCTTATTGTGTAGGGGAATATCTGAAGCAAGACGCACACTGATAATCATGAATTGGCTTAACAATGAACAATCTTGCTATGAAAAATTCTAATTTGCCCACGTTTTCAGCTCTATTGCCTAAATAATTTGCTCTCTCATGAGCCCTAAGTAATTGAAGCAGGCGCCCCACACCTGCAGAGGCAGATTCCTGCCGTTTCCAGGAGTTGACAAGTGGCAGTGGGGCGTCTGGAGACCCTGCCCTGCAAGTGCGCTCATTCGCAGAGGGGGCCGTGGGCTGGGCTGTCACTGCGTGTCACGTGTACTTCCACACAAGGTCCGCTCTCCACTTTTAGTTACGAACGGAACAAGAACGTGGCTTCTTAACACCTCCATTTATTTCTCAGGACTTACAGGGTCTGGCGCAAATAATGCCTCTGTTTATCACAAACTCTTTTATTTACAAAATCCTAAGCATGTAATTCTGTGACATAACAATATCACACTCAAGAACACCCTATAACATTTTAGATGAAATGTTCAAATAAAAAGTCTAAATTATTACACCCATATTACTACCCTACCAGCTACACTCAAGCAGGTGTTACTTCTGCCAGATCCTGGATTTTGGGAGAGATCATGGTCATGAGAAAGAAGTCCATTCTCCCAAAGAATTAAAAAAAATACAATAGTATGAGTACCCCTCATTTCACTTTCAGTGACTAGTGAACTCTTGAAAATCATTTAACAGATTATAACAATCAATTATATCTAACAGGTATTTGTGTTTATAATGTAAGGTATTATTACATTTACTTCAACAACCCCATGAGGTAGGTGGTATCATTATCATCATCATCATCATCGTCACCTGCATTTTTTAGGTGAGAAAACAAATTCAGAGAGGCTAAATAACTTGCCCAAAGTCGAAGAGCTAGGAAGCGGTACGACTGAAATTTGGACACACTTTGTCTTTCCATCTGACAGAAAATTTAGGGTTCCCTCCCTCCCCTGCCCACTTCTCAACACTGCACTGCCGGCATCCGATCCCTGCGGTAACCAACACCAGGTGGTTGCTGCTCTTGGCGTGTAACCATTAACAGGTCCAAAGACATAAGTTCTTTGGTTAAGCTTGCGTACTACTCAGAACTGCTATCAAGGCGTCATTCTGGGAGTTACCTGACTGCTTTAAAACTGGCAGTAATCATCAACCTTCTAGGCCATTCTTCTAGTTTTTGACCTTCAAGGTGACCAATGCCAAAGCTGCACAATTTTTAAGGCTGGGAAAGTTACTTCTCTGGACCTCAGTTTCATAAGTGAAGATTCAATGATATGCTATATAAATGACACAGCACATACATGATTATTTTATATATACTCTCTCTCTGTATATATGCACATCACACAGTTCTTAGAAGTAGCTGGCGCTCAGCAAATAGTTGTTATTATTATTGTTATTGTTGATAAGAAATCCTGCCTTATAGCGAAATGAAATTCTTCTCTGCAGTCTGTAAGCTCTCTCCAAAGTGGGGATAGAGAAAAGCTGCTTATCCTCCAAATACCATGACAGGCAGCTCCCGCCAGCCACCCCAG